ACTGTTTGCACCGCATGAGGGAGATGACATTCCCATTCTCCAGTTGGAAAAACAAAACACAGTGACACTTTAGAATTAAAAAACAAACAAAGAAGCGAAGAGCCCCAGGAGAACAAGGCTAACTCCTGCCTGGCACACGGGTCTTGAAAGTCGCCCCCAATTCCGCGAATAAAAAGATGATTACCAATAAAAATGCTGGCTACTCACCTCCCACATCTGCTGTATTTGGCTATGAAGCCCTTTCCAGTGGAGGTGCCAAATAAGTCTTTATACAGCCTTTTGTTAGGTTTTCTGAGGGAGGCTCTGTGTGTCTTCTAAGTACTGTACTCAGTGTCACCATGAACACGTATCGTCAGCACTGAAAGGAGCTGGAACCTGACGTACCTTTGCCATCATGCCTACCACGCAAATCCCACCCCCACCCTTCATCCTCCTCCCCCGTCTTCGGGCTTGGGGGAGAAGAGACAAGGCGGTCTAGGCTCCGGCTTGGATGGTTTTCAGAATTAAGGACATTCGGCCCGGGGTGTCCTAAAGGGTGTTGGATGGTCTCCCTCGGCAATGCCATGCCCTTTTCGTTCTGATGCACTCGGAAGGAGGCAGGAGAAATGCTGAACTTGAAGGGTGGGAAATGGAGATGGGGGCTGCCAGGTGGTTCTGAGGGCTGATTCGGGGCAGGCCCTGGGCTGGGCTCCCTCACACACAAGAAACTCATGAGAGGAGCAGAATTCGCGCTCATCACCACAGAGGAACTTGAGAGTCTGGGAGGTCACGGAATTGGCCCAGGGCCCCGTGGTGAACTCTCCGCATCTGACTCCCAGGTTAACGATTTCCTCCTCCTCCGGGCTGGATCAGAGACAGAGACGGTGGGGCTCGCCTCCCCAGATGCAGGGAGTGAGGGATCCAGTCCCTTGCAATACTCTGCACCAGGAACAAGGCTGCCCCCTGGCATCCTGGTGCTTTAACTTCTATGCGGAAGGGACTCATCTGTCTGGTGGGAGCTGTTAACTCTCTTGTCACTGGTTTGTCATTTGGACTGAATAAGGAATGGTGCCCTTTGTCAAGTCGACACTGCTCATGAACTTCCTTTCCACTTTTTTGGATGATCGCTTGTTTCGGCCTCCTGGCTCCTCTTGTCTCACTCTGGTAAAAAAAAGCTGCATATGTGGTCGTCCCACCTCCCCTCCCCCGTCCTCCCACCCCCATTCTCACCCTTGCTGCCTTATCTGTTAAGAAGGATCAGAAAAAATTCAGGGGGAGGGGCGCCTGGGTGGCTCAGTGGGTTAAAGCCTCTGTCTTCAGCTCAGGTCATGATCCCAGGGTCTTGGGATCGAGCCCCTCTCTGCTCGGCAGGGAGCCTGCTTCCCTCTCTCTCTCTCTCTACCTGCCTCTCTGCCTACTTGTGATCTCTGTCTGTCAAATAAAAAAATAAAATAAAATAAAATAAAATTCAGGGGGAGAAGGATAAAGGGCTACTCACTATGTTGAAAAATCAACATAGGGGCGCCTGGGTGGCTCAGTCATTAAAAGTCTGCCTTTGGCTCATGGGATCGAGCCCCACATCAGGTTCCCTGCTCAGCGGGAAGCCTGCTTCTCCCTCTCCCACTCCCCCTGCTTGTGTTCCCTCTCTCACTGTGTCTCTGTCAAATAAATAAAAATCTTAAAAAAATATATCAACATATACTATAATTTCATAAAACTGATGGACTGTTCCAAAATCCCAAGGGTACTGAGGCTATTGATTTACTGACACATCAACTTACACAGACTTTTAAAAGGAAATACTGCCTTGAATTCATAAGACACCGTTCTCCAAGGAGCTCCAGAATTTCAAAAGGTTCATATTTATATTCTTTTTACGGAACAGGAAGCGGTGCGTGGCTATCAACCTCACTTTACATACAGTAAGAATGAACAAAACTAGTAGAACACCCAAAACAAAATCCAGGACTTAACCTGTCTTTTCCAATCTAAAATCTAACAGGTTAGTACTGCCTGCTGTCTCCAACCTACTGAAAAGTAAACATATCTGCCCAGTAAGAATATGTAAACTGGACAAGTGATATTAGAAATATTCAAACACATTTGGTTCCCCTTTCTCCCAATGTGTGGGAATTCCAGGACGATGCCTGAGGTCCCAGCTGAAGCTTGCCGCCGCACCAAACTGGGAGGCAGCCGCAACCTTCATGTGCCGCTCGGGGAGATCCCTGCACTATCTATGACCCTCAGTGGAGTTCCAGCCCAATGCCAGGTCTTTTCCTGCCTTGCTACACATACTGAAGGATTCAACCTAAATACAAATCATAAGAACCTTCTCCTTCCCTCTCTGTCCCCAGGAATGCAAAGACACTCCCTTCTCTGTGAGGCCCTTCCAAGAAGATCATACATAATGGAAGGATAAAGTGACCCCCTTTGCACAAGGAGACAACGGGACCACCCCAGGCTGTCCACAAAGGTCACAAGCCAGGAAAACGTGGCCAGAGTTCCCTCCTGGTGTGCTTGTTGTTCCGGACTGTGGGAACAAACAGCCGCCGCAGTGTGAAAGCCTTGGGTGAAAAGCCGCTTCACAATGTGGGTTTGCTGCTCCTACCGTCAGGGCGAAGTCTGTTCTTACGGCCCCCGTGTCCAGGGTAGCCCGTGGGACTTGCTTTGGCCAAAGGGACACCAGCTAAAGAGGTGACGCAAGCAGAGGTATGAAAGGTGTCTGTGCTCCTGAGCTTGGCCTCCCTTGCTCTGAGAACCCTTCTGTGTTACATGAACAAGCCTGGACCAGCCTCCCAGGGGCGAGAACCTGCAGAAAGGGAAGCTGCAGCAGGCACGGCCAGCCCAGCCGAGGCCCCAGACACAGGAGGGAGGCCATTCCAGATCACCTCGCCCCAGCCACGTCAGGCCAAATCTGGAACTACCAGCTGTCCCCAGAACCGCCAACAAATACAAAGGTGGCCATTTTAAGCTGCTAAGGTTCAGGGTAGTTTGTCCCACGGCGAAGGTGAACCAATACACTCAACTCTGAATTCCATTTCTGGAACTCTGGCTTTGCTTGCACACTTGAAGGAGTCCACAGAACCGGTCTGAGGCAGAAATGTAATGTGACACAAAGAAGGAAACGTTTTCGGGAGCTCCTTTAGGATCTCAGCAGTGCTTCTTCTGAAGCTTCTCGACACTTGTAGGTTGACCTCTAGGCATCTAACCCACAGAAACACTCACAGAGGGCACTGGATTTACGTATACCGATGGTCCCTGCGGCCGTACTTGGGATAACATGGGAGTGGAAAACATCTAACTAGCAATCATTAGAGGAAAGGATAATAACTTACGGTGTAAAATGAAACAAGAAAAAAGTGGTTACATGTTTTTCAAATAAGCTCTTTGACGAACCATCTTAGAGCCCGTATTCAACCAGCACGAATCTCACTCAGCAGTGAGGAGTCTGAGGTTTCCTCTGCAATCATTACTCAGGGCACCGGAGCCTGCTAGCCACACGTGAGACCTTCCCCAGAGTCACAAGGCATCCAGCAGGCAGCCAGAGCAGCCAGAGCCAAGGGCGGGAGATCCACAATTAACCCTTTATTTTAAATGCTCATACAGAATATAAAATAAAAATAAAATCCTCATACAGGGTGTCTGGGTGGCTCAGTCAGCTGAGCATCGACTTTTGGCTCAGGTCATGATCTCAGGGTCCTGGGATCGAGCCGCACGTCGGGCCCCCTGCTCAGCGGGGAGCCTGCTTCCCTCTCCCTCTGCAGAGTGAGGGGCAGAGCAGTGCTCTCCCATTCTCTCTCTCTCAAAAAGGAAAAAAAAAAATGCTCATCTAGTTATAACAAATTTCAACTTTTTTCCTACGTGGGCATTATTGATTTTTCAAAAATGTATTGCGGGGGGGGCAGGCACCTGCGTGGCTCAGTGGGTTAAGCCTCTGCCTTCGGCTCAGGTCATCATCTCAGGGTCCTGGGATCGAGCCCCACATCAGGCTCTCTGCTCAGCGGGGAGCCTGCTTCCTCCTCTCTCTCTCTCTGCCTCTCAGCCTACTTGTGATCTCTCTCTGTCAAATAAATAAATAAAATCTTAAAAAAAAAAAAAAAGTTTAAGGTGTCTGCCAGCCCATGGGGAGGCTTGGAGGTAGAACATCCCACGCCAGACCCCTGATGTCCTAAAGCTTCCGCTCTCTCCTTGGTCTTAACTGCTCCGTGTGCAGGTCTTGTCTCCCACCTGGACTGTAGGCTGCTAGAGGGAGCCACCATGTCCAGTTCCAGTGTCTCTATCTCTCAGAATTTAGCCAAGTTCAGGGGCACCTGGGTGGCACAGTCAGTTAAGCATCCAACTCCTGGTTTCAGCTCAGTTGTGATCTCCGGGTCATGAGATCGAGCCCTGTGTCAGGATCCATGCTCAGTGGGGAGTCTGCTTGGGATTCTTTCTCTCTCTCCTTCTCCCCCTCCTGCTCATGCTCTCTCTCTCAAATAAATAAATAAATCTTAAAAAAAATAATAAATTTAGTCCAGTTCAATCTAACCAGCAGGTAAAGAAAAAAAATAGAGCAAATTCATAAAATTCGTAGGTTAGGGGGTAACAGGTATGTTACAAAAGAACTCCCTTTGTAGAAAGATTCACTGAATAAGTTCTCCTAATATAAAAGATGGGCTTGATTTAGGAAAAGACCTCCCACCCCTCAACTTTTCCAGGAATCTGTGTACAGTGTGTACTCCATAAAATGCGGGAGGCTTTTCTTAACAGCCCTTGCTATCGAGTGAAGCAAAGCAAAGCAAAACTCAAAAGCGGTTGGGTTGTGAAGGCTCCTCTAGCTGCATCATGAATCCAGACATCTGTAAGAATTCTAGTTAGAGAGCACACCTTCCCGAAATCTAAGCCAGAGATGGCACAGCTGCAACGAAAGCTTTCTCACGCCCATGGGTTCAGCAGTCGCCTGGATGCGCACAGGTAGAGAGACAGAGCATCTAACGAGACGTCAGAGCCCAAGCAAACAGCAGAAGGGGCTGGGCCCTCACCTCGGGAATCAGCCGCCGCCTCTTCACGCCGGGGACAGAGTCAGGCTGGCCATCGCCACCCGGCTGCTTCCGCTTGCTGGAATCCTGGAGGGCAGTGAAGACGCAGTCCAGAGGGTGCTTCTCGGAGGACCTGGAGCTCACCGAGCAGTCCAGGGCAGCATCTTCGGCCGCTGTCTCCACTTTCACAGTGTTATTTTTTAGAACTGTGGCAGAGAAGAAACAGGGCTCAGCGGGAAAGACCACTGGGCCGCTCGGAGGTTAGCAGGGTTCCCTGAGCGACAGGCTGGGTGCGGGCTGCCCTCGACACTACCACTCAGATAATGAAGTCTAAGAACAACTAAACCGCGCTTTCCAACCTAGTGATCGCTGTCTTACCGCGTTAGTGCTAAGACAATAAAACCATGTTCAGAGAAATTTTTGCTCAAAACTGGTTTTAAAGTCCTTTTGGGGGGGGAAGACAGTAGATAGAAAGAAATAAATACCATCTCTGAAATGATATTTGTAAAAATAACTCCGGAAAGATACATAAGACACCTCTAGCAGGTGTATGGGTGGAGGGGGATGGGAACCAGGGGAGGGAGAAGTTCCACTGATGTTTCATTACGTAGCTTTTTATTTTTGAACCATGTAGTGTATGGCCTAATAAAAAAATACTAAGTTAAAAATATTTTTTAAAAAGAAGCATTTTTTTTTACCTTCTTCTACATCTTCACTGAATTCAGTTGAGTTCATCTTCTATTCCACTAAATGAAAAGACAAAGACAAAGTCTTGATTTATTGCTTGACTTACTTCTTAATTTTCCATACCCATGAGAAATTCCCTTACCCTCCCAACCCTGGCTCTGGGTCATGGAAGCTGAGCTGACACTGTTCCCTAACATCATGGAAAGCCGCATCCTCTGAGTTAGAAGCAGCCAGGCCTTCTGCGTACCCTCTGGGAGCGCTTCTCCAAAACTCCACGTGGGCAGAATGGGTCCTAAAGCATCGACTGAGTCACTTTCACACCGAGGGGGAACGTTATTTGAGAAAATCAAGTCTTAGAAAAGACCCAAGTTCAGATGATCTCCTGTCAGTCCCTGCTTTCTAAATTCCAGCCACAGACCGAAAAGGTGGACTAAGGATGTAGGGGGTGGCTCCTTGGGACACAAGCAGGTCACAGGACTGACTCCAGGTGCTCGTCCAAATGAAGACATGCTGTAAGTGGAAGTATACCCTGGATTTCAATGATGTAGCGGAGGGAAAAAAAAAAGTAAAATATCTAATCATACTTATGTTGATTACATGTTGACACAATAATGTCAGATTCACTGGGCTAAATAAAACTTTATTAAAATTAATTTCACCTTTTTTTTTTTAATGTAGCTACTAGAAAATCTGAAACTACTTAAGTGGCTTGCATTCTATTTTTATTGGATGGTGCTGGTCTAGCCCTTCCTTCCAAAGCAGGGAGAAGAGGCAGTGTGGGTTTTTAAAGCTCTGGAGCGCCACAGAATCTGGCCCAAACCCTTCTTTTTACTGATAAGGGAACAAGGTGGGGGGGGGGGCGGCGGGGAACAACGAGAGTAAGGGGCACTCTATGGGCTGCAAGGGTCAGGCGCGGAGCCCCTGACTCCCCTTGCCTGCGCCAGGATGGAACAGACACCATGATTAAAAGTAGCATTAAATCTCTGAGATTCCCCCAAACGACATAACAGCTTTCATAAACAGAATAAGGTGTACATGAGGCAGTAATGCTAGAAAAGAAGACACTGACGGCCTGTACTACTGACACTGAGTTGTGCTTCTCACAACTGATTAAGCCGACTGCAAATACTGAGTTTCCATTCTGATTAACCCTTTGAGGAGAGCAGGACTAAGAAGTATCTTCTCAGAAATTTCTAGAGAAACAGTGCTATCTACAAAGTCCAGTAAGCTACTCACCAAACAGCCATAGAATGGTGTGTGATTCTCAGTTTTAGTTGCGGGGGAAGCAAGAAAGAGGGAGTGAATCTAGGTAAACTATGCACACAGTTAACAGCCTCAAAATTCACTAATAATAGCAACATGCGTATGGTGCTTATGATGTGATGTGGTATCCTCAGAATGTCACAGTAACTTTATGACAGGCACAGTTCTTTCCATCTCTGTATTACTAATTTTCAGAGAAATGAATAAAAAATGTAAGATTTATCTGAAACTGCAATTACACTGAAAATAATTGCTATTTACCGAAGTATCTGTTATCTGAAAAATGTAACACACAAGATGGTATTGAGGGAAGATAATAAGTCCAATTCAAGGGTCAAGAGTACCAACGGTGAATTTCCATTGTATTGCAAGGGGAAAAACCCCACTTTTGACATCACCCCCCTGAGGGGCTGGGAGTAGTGAGGGCGGGTGGAGCACAGGCAGGCAGGCGAACCACAGTCTGCAAACAGCGAGGCAGCCCACACGGGGAGAAGTTCAAGTCCAGGCAGGGGAGCTTCATAAGGAAATGCACTGCGGGCCTTGCCTGATGCCAACGGCCCTGGGAGACCCCACCCCACGGTCACTGAAATCCAGAGCAGAGGTGAGAAGCAGCGAAACCGATGGGCAGGACTGAGTGAGTCTTAGAGAGGGCGCGGGGCGCGACACAGATGACTGGGGAGAAGGGTGGGAAAGGCAGGAGGCGGTGGATGGCTCACCGGGGGAGAGAAAGGGTCAAGGTGGAAGAAAAACCACAAAGACTCAAAGACGCTAAGCAGAGGACATTAAAAGGACAAGCAAATCCTGGAAGAAAACAGGTGTCGGTGAAAAAACACAGCAGGCAGAACCACAGCGCCCAGCAAGGCCAGCACAGTTATCTGCATGTTATCTGCCCAGCTGTTCCCGGAGAGCGGCAGGGAGCTGGGGAGGCAAGTGCTGGCACGGGCTGGGGATACCGCTGGGGCTCCGGCAGACCGGTAGGGCCTGCAGCCCAGTGCTGGGCGTACACTTGGCCGGGACGGGGGCTCAGGAGGCAGGAAGGGTGTTTTCTACGCCACACCGTGTGATATTAGCGCAGGCGTACAAGCACCTGGTGAGGAAAACGGTGAAGAGAACACACCTGGCCTCCTGCGGGGGTGGGGGGGGGCAGAAAGCCAAAAGCGGGGCTGGGAAGGCTCCCGGTGGCCCCCGTCCTGGGCACTCAAGACACCCAGAGGGCATCTGCTCTGGAACCAGTGTCACCTTAGACCAGTGACAGATGCTAGATTAGCAGGGGAAGTGACCCAGACCCCAGCACAGCGGGCCCCTTCCCTCCCAGCCAGAAAAGCCACCCCGCTCCATGGGAAACTGGGGAATTTCCCTTTGGCAAAGCCAGAAGAACCCACAACTGCATCTGACTGTGTGATGTGGACAGGAGTGAGGGTCCTCAACCAACACCGCAGCCCGCCCACCGCAAGCTGGATGCACCGGCCACGTCACCAACACTTCCATCTCGCCCCGAGCTCTCTGAATCCCAATTTTACCAATAAAGAAACCAAGGGCATTATTCCTTAAATTTGGACAATTCTTATTTGTCAACTCTACTCCAATGAAGAGAGAAAAAACTATATTTATAATATTTTGATTATGGAAACACAATAATTGCAAATGGAAGGGGGGGTGGGAAGGGAACACAGGGCAGGTAACTTGACCCAGGGTCACCAAGCTGATCGGTGGCAGAACTAGGATTCAAAACTAGCCTATGTCTCTCTCCAGTCAGCCCCCCGGGGCGGAAATCACAGAATCCTCATTCGTCCAGTAAGGTGGTTCTGGTGAACACGGGGGCCAGTTTCCAACCTTGCATCCTTCTGTCCAACAGCAGCTGGAACACCCAAATCTCCGTCTGTCTGCATGGAGCTACCTGGAAAATCTGTCTATTCCGTGCTTAGACACAGACTCCACAGGGCAGAAGAGATGTCCAGGGGGACTCCCAGCCTCCCTGTACTGACACAGTGATCACACAGTGGGAGAAAAGACAGGGACATCACATTGCCACCTCCACACATGGCTCCCTCCACTTCCTGTCATCTGCCCGGATGAAGGTCACAAGGCTGCCTGTCTGGGGTGGACACCGCGCGCCCAGAGGCCGAGCATGCCGCAGGAACTGTAGGTTATAGTTACCAACCACCATGGCTCCCGCCCCTGGGGCTTGCTCTCACCAGTCTCGCAAGTTGTGAGACCACCAAAGTATGTACCCACGTGTTCCTGAGAATCAGCTTTCTCCCCCAAGGGGTGGCTGTTCCATGTCCCCCAGAAACCCCAGGCCAAGCCCAAAGGAATGCTTAAACAAATGAGGGGAACAAAGGTCAATGAGACCCATGTAGCCTGCTGCTGCCTCTAACGAAAATATCGCAGGTTCTACAATGCCCATGACCTCTTGGAGGGGAACTCTCAAACAGGACCAATTTCCAGGGGTTAATTTAGTAACTGAAAATGCTCAGTTATTATTATTATTCTTTTAACCAAACATCCTAGGAAGCCTTAGGCTAAATGACTGTCATGGGTACAGAAAGGTTTAAATGTTGCAGAGCTCGTAAGAGTATATATGATTTTATTAAAATGCCTAATAGTCTCAATCCTTCTGCACGGAGCGAGACAGACAATGTTCAATTTTCCATGCAGGGCACACAGGCGGGGGAAGATTAGAATGTCATCAGAAAAGCCTTCCGTTTACAAAAAGCACAAAAGGGAGGGTAATCCCAAACGTTCAGAAATAACAAGATGCTTTAGTCACTCAAATATCAAATTACAAAGGCTAAGTTGCTTAAATTGGCTACATAAATGCAGTCACTGGCAGGGCTCCCTCCATGCCTCCTGCTGAAATGCGCCTAAATCTGATGCCTGAGTATCAGCAAGCTCCTGCCTCTGGCGGGAAGAAAGTCTGGGAGGAGGGACGACAGGGGAGGCAGACGGTGAGAATCACTCATGGGGCTGAGAAAGAATCAGTTCTCAGAGATGCCACAAAGAAATGGAAACGTTGAAAAGATTTACAAATTACAGGTCAATGTCTATTTTTGGAGTTCATTTTAAGAAGGGAAGATGCTTAGGGTCTTTTTTTTCTTTTTTGACTAGAAAACGCACACACAAGAAAGAAAATTCAGAAAGTATAAAAAGGAGATTTGGGGGCACCTGGGTAGCTCAGTGGGTTAAAGCCTCTGCCTTCGGCTCAGGTCATGATCTCAGGGTCCTGGGATGGAGCCCCACATCGGGCTCTCTGCTCAGCAGGGAGCCTGCTTCCCTTCATCTCTCTCTGCCTGCCTCTCTGCCTACTTGTGATCTCGCTCTGTCAAATAAATAAATAAAATCTTATAAATAAATAAGTTAATTAATTAATTAATTAATTAATTTTTAAAAAGATTTGTTTTAAAAGTCCACTGTCGGGCACCTGGGTGGCTCAGTGGGTTGAGCGTCTGCCTTTGGCTCAGGTCAGTGATCTCAAGGTCCTGGGATCGAGTCCTGCCGGCGGGAGTCAGCTCCCCCGCTGCTCTTCTCCAACTCGTTCTCTCAGTCTCTCTCTTAAATGAATAAATAAAATCTTAAAAAAAAAAAAAAAAGTCCACTGTCTCTCCCCACCCCCTCCGTCCCCAGTCACTCTCTGAGAGGCAACGATGTCCGTTTTCTCGTGCATCCTTGCACAGAATGTTCAGGGTCAGCGGCTCTCAGAGCATGAACCGTGTCCAGCAGTTGCCAGCACTGGCTCGTCCCCGCATGCACAGCCTGTGCGTCCCTCCCCAGCTCCAGGCGGACTGACACCCTGGAA